TCATTTCCTGTTATGCTGTCCACTTTATTCTGACATATGGAAAACATACTTACCAGCTTATTATTATACTTACCCAGATCAAATTATGTTTACTAACTTAATGAAAACAAATAACAAACATTTACAAAGAAACATAGCATGCTATTTAATACAGGCATATAAAATACGAGATAGTATTTAAAAAATGTGTTTTTCTTTTCTTCTGTAACCTTTACTAGCACTTCTTGTACTTATTATTTTTGTAACATTCTTTGTAAATAAGGCCGGAGGCCAAAGTACTGAATAAATTATTTATATATTATAAAACATAAAAAAACTAATGTCACTCAAACATTTCCGTTTCCGTATTTCAATACTATTTCTGGCTTGAACGGGTTCGATTTTCCGCGTCTAACGACCACAGAACACAAAGGCACTAGTAAGTTTATACAATTAGGCATTTGTAGTGTAATCTAATGCCTCAATAACTTTGAAAGTACAGCACTTTCCTAGCGTACATCATGCATGTTTAAATTAATTTAATTAACCAAAATTTTTTTGTTAGATTTACGTGGAACGTGTTATTAAACTGATTAAAGTAACAGGGTGAATTAAGGTAGAAGTCTACTCATGATTTCAAATACTTAGAATTAATTCATTTTACAATAAATCATACTTCCGGGCAATATGGACTTTAAAATGGTTTAATTTTCGAGAATATGATGGTTGTATTTTAGAGGATAGTGGTGATTTTGGAACTCATATAACGATTTTACCACAGGTTCATATTGTAGGCTGGTGACATAGGCTAACAAAATGATATACTAGTATTGTAAATGGTGGAGGGCTTTTTGTTGACCTCAATTATTTTAAAAAAATTGGGTTTAAAAGGGGCAAAAATGTAATTTGTCGTTAACATTGTGCTCTATGGAACTGTTCTAAAAATAGCATTATTTGAAAAATATAATAAGTAACGCGTATCAAACTGCTCGGAGTTCGTTCTTAGCTGACACAGCGCTACCTGTGACGATACAACAGATGATAGACGTCTTTCCCGGAAGTCCCAGATACGACGTTTCGCATGCGCGCGCATACCATTTAGGGGTGCAACATAAACTTGCACGTGTGATATTGTGCTTCTGGATATACCAATCGACGTCACAAAAATAAAATTCCCTTTTTTCGTCTGTCAGCAAACTGACATGTTTGTATTTTAGGTCATGACAAAGCAGGAAAGCCGGTGCAAATAGCTAAATTCGAGGAAATAGCACAAAATCAACTTTGAAGTAGTCCTATACACCAAATTTATATATGTTGAACATGCAGTACCATTTGCTGGGAGTTTTTCGGCCTTTGTTTTCACCGTGATGGTTGCCAGGTGGTGAAAATGCCCAGAAGTCCGCCCGAGAATACTGAGCAAAATAGTAAACAGCGCCCTCACAAGTTATTTTTTTTTAATCTAACAGATACAGTGTTTGTTTTGCTAATTATTACTTTTAATTATTATGTATTAGTTTGTTAATTGTATTATAATTATAAATGTAATAACACGTGTTGCACGGACAATTGGGTTAGTGTTGTTGATTACATAATCTTAGGTAGCTTGTTTCATTTTGTTCGTGACTTCTTTGTTGATACTATTGATGAGTCAGATCACTTTCCTATACAATTTACGTTACAGTTTTCTGCGGTCAATACTGTGATAGGTGTAACAACCATTTTTGCAGACAACTTAGAAGTTTGGGAGAAATGGAAACCAGATTTGTGTTTGGAGTTAATAAATAAATTTCACGATGAAATCGGCCAACACTTACTAACGTTTCAACAAGCTATTCAGCAGGTTGACACACTGAAAGCCGTCGACATTCTAACAGGTATATTATTTAGAGCTGGGGCTTGAATGAAGGTCTCAGGGAAAACAAATTAAAAAAAATAAAATGGAAAATGCAAATAGTGCATTGCGGTGGGACAAAGAATGTGAAGTTTTGAGAACAAGGAAATTTGAGCTTTTAAATTAATTCCGCAAAATGATGATGCACTTAGAAATTATATTGGAATTAGAAAAGGAAGAGATTGTAAGTTTAAACAACGTAATACGTTGTTACATTGCACGCAGGGTAATTTTTAGGGGGTGGTTACAAAAATTAAGGGCGGGAAACGGTCTGTTTTCCCAGAGAGTAATATCAGTTCATTAGATTGGTTTAACTCTTTTAAAGAATTGCTTAATGTATCACCAGAAAATATTGACGTAACTTTTGAAAGCAACATTATTGACAAATTACAAGAACACGACTCTCATTGTGAGTTATGTAAATATAATGTACCTTGAGCAGTCAACAGTGACATCACATTGCAAGAGGTCACAAATAGTATCAAAAGCACAAGGATTGGGGAAGCACGTGACGGAATTGTAAATGAAATGCTTAAGCATTGTGGTGACAGCGTGCATCAAAGTCTGTGTCATTTATTTAATTTAATTTCGGAGGCAAAAATACCCACTCAGCTGGGGAAAGGGAATTACTTTCCCGTTACACAAAAAGAGAGATTTTAACAACGTCTCTAATTATCGTGGTATTTCGTTGTTGTCGTCAGTGAGTAAAATGTTTACTAAAATTATAAATGACCGTCTAGTAAAGTGGGCTGTAGGAGATGTCATTATCGTTAAGACACAAGCAGCCTTTCGTAAAGAGCACATCACTTTTGACAATACGTTTTCACTACAGTGTTTAGCTCAGAAATATCTGTCACGAAGTGGGGGCGCAAGTATTGTGTCTTTATTGACTTTTCGAAAGCTTTCGATCGTGTTAATGGATTGCATGGCATAGTTCTGACAACCCTGCGGACAATGTACAGCGAAATTAAATCTTGTGTTCTGTGTAGTGGGCGACTTACAGAATATTTTGGCTGCCATATAGGTACAAGACAAGACTGTATGCTAAGCCCTTTCTTATTTAGTTTAATTGTTATTGAACTTGCTTTCTTTATGGATAAGCGTTATAGTGGAGGTATAAGCGTCACACATGATTTCACAAATATGGATATTTTACTGTATGCTGACGATTTTGTCGATGTATCGGATATGCCTATTCTACTGCAGAGAAAGTTAAATCAGCTAGGCCAATTTTGCGATCATTGGGGCATGACGGTAAATCTAGATGAAACTAAAATTGTAGTGTTCCGCAACGGTGGAATGTTGAGATCTTATGAAAAATGATCATACAAAGGCATTCCAGTTAAGACAGTAAAACAATACAACTATCTGGGTTTATTATTTTCATCAAAATTATCCCGGACGCCGGCAAGGGATAACCTTACAGTCAAGGGGAAAAGAGCGTTATATCAAATACAGGTTTTCACTAAGAATCTTGGTGGTCTTCCCATAACTGAAGCTTTTAAGGTATTTGATGCTTCAGTTGTCCCAGTAATTTGTTATGGGCTGAAATATGGGGTTATGAGTACTCCATAATTGTGGAGAGGGTGCAATTTATTTTTTTGTAGATTTTTATTAGGGATTAACTCTAATGTAAATACTGAAATGATTTTAGGCGAATGCGGGAGATTACCCATTTTCTGTACTTACATGAAACGTTGCATTTCATACTGGTTAAAGCTTTTAAAAATGGATATGCACCGGTATCTTAGGGCCTGTTATAAAATGGTTAAAAGGCTGGACTCAGCGGGAAGGGTTACGTGGGCAACAAAAATCAAAGAGTTACTGTATCGATACGGTTTTCGAATTTTATGGATTGAACAACAAGTTGGAGAAAGCAAAAATTTCTTAGGTTTATTCTCAGACTAGTAATGTATTACTAGTCTGAGGTTTATTTCACGAAAGGTTATGCAATTGTTATCATCAAGAATGGTCGGCAGCGATTGGTCATTTAGGTAGATTGTGTGTAGGTTCTGCTGGCACGCAGATGCTGTTTTGATCAAGTCTGTGTGATATTTGTGTTTTAATGCGATAAATGAAATTCGTTAACCTGGCAATAAAACTTGTTTTCAGTGCTGAATATACGGAGGTGACGACAGAAAGAACTTAAGAAAGAAGAGCAAGGCCCATGTTCAAAATTAACTGAGCCATTAGTTATTCTATCCTTCTTACGAATGGTTACGAGTATACTGACTATACAATAGTTCGAATGTCGGGATCGAACGTATTCAATACGGGTATGTAACTTTATTGCGTTTACAACGGTCACCGAGTGTCTAGAAAAGTATCTGGGGATGTTGCAAAGTCCCTCGGTGATTACATACCGGGTGCGGGAGTTAGGTGTATGTAAATATCTTGAACTCGCTGCAATTGTACGTACTTCTAAATTGAGATGCCCAATTATGTGTTTGATAGTGTCTATATAAAATACACCTACTTCAATGTTGTTTAGTTTTCATGTGCCCCCAGAAAATTACATAACTAGTGGTTACCATACTTTGCAGATTATATAGAGATAAGCGTAAGTTCTATTCCAAACAAAGTTATGAACTGCATACTTGTTCTCAGTGAAGACGTTGAAGACTCAATGTGTAAAGATTCCATGTAATAGTGCTGATTTCGTGCAATGTCACGACTATTGTGATCCTGACTGTATCAAAAACATCATCATTCTTTTATTGAATAAAAGAGACAAGCGACATTTATTGTATTGAGTGATTAATTCACTATAGAGCTATATTTGTCCACACAATTCTAAGAGTGATATCACTGAAAAGATTCCTACTTGATTGAAAGAAAGACACGCTGCACGTCATATATAATATCAGCAGAAGTGAAAACGTTAATTAAATACAAATATTAGGGAAAATATATCACATACAGTTGAATAATAAAAATACAGCGAATTTATCAAAAATAGCACAAAACTAAGTGAAAGAAAAAATATGCTGCATAGTTAGTTCACAATGATATGTTTTCCAGGGACATCACAAAAATAGGATGACCTTCAAACAATTCAAGAATAAAGAAAGGTGGTTTGAAAATGTCAACTTATATCGCACAAATCAATTTGTTTTCTTGTGCCTTCATTTCAATAACCGTTTTGCTTAATATCGTCGGATTTGTTCCTCCTATTCTCACTCGAGATCTTTTCCAGTTTCACGGTAAAATGGCGCAGACGCGTCGATTCCCACGATATTCTAAGGCCGGTATAATTCTCAGCATGGTCTTTCACGTATTTGTGAACATCTGCAACGTACCTCATATGGGAGCGGTTATACACCCGCCGTGGTATGCACAGACGGACAAGCTCCAGACCGACTGCTTTTTCACTGCCATTCGGCTGCTTCCCTTGCAGTAATGAGCCTATCTCAAAAGCACGTATCCCACCTTCCAGAAAAAGCGCACCACAAAGAGCCACCCCAGGATACCCCAAGGATGGTATGTGTGGAAGTACAGAGGTGGCGTCGACGTAGACAGCATGACCTCCAGTCGGGTGTACAATACGAATACCAGCTTCGATGAGAAGTTCGCCTAAATAAGCAACCTGTCCGATGCGATACTCGAGGTATTCTTCATCGAGGGCTTCCATGAGACCAACAGCGATAGTCTCCATTTCACGACCGGATAAACCCCCATACGTTGGAAATCCTTCTTTCAATATCAAATCCTGTCGGCATTCTCTGGCGAGATGGGAGTCGCGTAGAGCCAGGTAACCACCAATATTTGCAAGGCCATCTTTCTTTGCGGACATGGTGCACCCGGCTCCATAGGAAAACATTTCCCTTGCGATTTCAACTATAGTTTTGTCCCGGTATTCATCTTCATATTTTTGTATGAAGTAGGAATTCTCGGCATATCTGCACGCATCAAAGTAGAGAGGAACGTTGTACCGCTTACAGATGGCTGAAGTGTCTCGTATGTTAGCCATACTAACTGGTTGGCCTCCTCCTATATTATTGGTCACCGTCATTATAACAAAACATACCCGACAACTGTTAGTCACTAGTAACTCTGCAAGCTTAGAGATGTCAATGTTACCCTTGAACTTGGCGTCCGTGAATATCGTTTCTTTTGTAAATGATGGTATATTCATGACAATGCCGCCGTTGTTTTGAACATGGGCCCCTGTCGTGTCAAAGAATCCGTTGCTGATAGCGATATCACCTTGCTTTACGACGTTGCAGAAGAGAATGTTTTCGGCAGCCCTTCCTTGATGTGTGGGCATTACCTCATCATAGCCAGTGATATATTTTACGGTCTTCTCAAGTCGATAGTAACTTGGCGATCCAGCGTAGCTCTCCTCGCCTGATAAAAATTAAATAAAAGATTATAACTTGCAATCTCACATGCGGTACGTGTAATCGTATAAAGTAGTGAATGGCATGTGGTATATGATTGTATTTTGTCAAAATTTCAGGCAAACGCATATAGCTGACATGTACATTTTTTCTTACCTCTCATTAGTGCTGACCACTGTTCTGTACTCATTGCCGATGTACCCGAATCAGTCAGTAAATCAATCATGACGTCATCTGCCTTTATATAAAACATGTTATTGTGAGCCTCTCTCAGGATCTTTTCTCTTTCTTGGCGCGTTGTGGTTTTTATCTTTTCCACCGTTTTCACGCGGTAAGGTTCGAACTTTGAGAAATGGGACCCGTTGGCCATCGTGTGTGTGGCGAGTAGGAAGGACACTTTGTGAATGAGTAACCATCTGCCGGCCGAACGGCGTCAGACCCCACTGTGATTAGCACTGGCACCAGCGACAAATCAGCCTATAGAGCATTTTACCACGAAGTGGAGGTTTAAAATCACCAGTGTACTTTTATTCAATGTATTGTCGCGACACCTGTCTATCAGAAGAGGCGTTTTCATTCATGTGACGTGTCAATTTTGATCACGTGATTTACCTTATACAAAGACATGATACATTTTACCTAGAGATACCTTTTTAAACCTACTTTTCATACCATCCTACGTCTACAGTTTTAAACTTTTACTCATTTATTGATAATCATTCATTTTACAGTATGATAACTATGCAGACTCCATGTGACCAGGCATTGCTGGTAATAGCACAGCATTTGTGCAAAGTTTAAGTTCTCGGGTTACCCTATCAGAAGTTTAGGAATTAATGTGAAGGCACGGGGTTGCCGTAATAAATGTTGTTGCAGCTTTTAACACACTTTTTTTTAATAACCTGAATGTTGACCAATTTATAATTCAATATGGCCACTTTAGCCCGCTTATCGTATTTGAAAATCACAAAGTCGTCATTTCCACATCTTTGGTACACCGTCTTGTTTGCTCTGTCATTTATTTGATTTCTCGAAAAGGCCTTGCTGCTGTTATCTACAGAGCAACTCAGGACGACAATTTTCTGAATTGTTGACACCCGTTATCGGTTAAATGCTAAATACCTGAATGATAACGTATTTGTGCGAAAGTTTTACCAAATTTTCTGTTTTTCATTCATTTAGTGAATTCTTTGTAGATTGTTTTACAATGTCGCCTGACACATTGAGACAACAGTTTGATATTACTTTCAGTTTCTTTGTTACACACTTGTTTTAGATACTACCAAACATTGCCAGAGTGTGTTTCCGTAACGGTGTATGCGTTTTGCGGATAATGGAGTGCAAGTTTTATTTTGCCTAAATTAATATTTGGAATTGGGAGTTTATCATGATTTTTTCAAACATGGAGTTGGTTGTTATATAATAACTGGTTCACTAAGTTGTTTGTTTGAGCGAAGAGTTCATAAAGTTACGGCAACGGCAGCTGTCATCGATCGTGTTCCGTTAATAATTTGTTGATATTTATTAAATTTTTGTTAAAATTTATCCTTCGTCGCCCCTTTATCTGGTCATTACGTACACATACACAGTAACGGTAATGGAAGAGTTAATGTAGATATGTAATGTTTTGTTTGCAAGCATGGCCAAGCTGATTTTATCTCTTAGTTTGAGATAAGTGTCGAGGCGTAGAATATAACGGGATAAATGTGGCTAATAATACAGAGTTTATAATGCATCGCGTGGGAGATGTTAGTGAAAGCCGGTATAGTATATGCTTCATTATTTACACTTATAACAAATAGTCAAAGCAAATCGTATTTGTGTGTTATATTATATTTGCCTGGATATAAGATAACGCCACACACACCTTAATTATTAAGGAAGCAGTCAGAGGACAAGGACATCGTCATTGTCTCGAATTGGCATAATTCAGCCTTCAGTTCATTATGTACTTATTCAACTTCCTCTATTGACAGCATCAACAATGCCGACTTGCAGTGGTTGCCTACTATTAACAGATATAACAAAAATTCCGTGACTCATTCATTTCATGACCCCTCTCTTCCTCACAAGTGAGACCCCTTTGAGTTACGTCAATAAGAGAGTGTTTGTAAAGTATAACGTGGTCGCACCCATAATATAATTAACAACTCAGAATACGCATAACATAGAATCGCTGGTAGCATAGGGATTGTTGCGCCGGGCCCATCTCCAGTATAATAGTCCTTGAGTTGAAATCCTACCTGTCGCTGAACACCAAATAGGGCTTGATCTAACCTTTGCGAGTGTGCCCTTAGGAGGGGTTAGTGACCATTCACTTGATACTGCTGTTTGATTCTACACGTTGATTAATGGGGGAAGGTCGATTCGTCCCAAATCACATTCGTACCACAAGTTAATTCGTTCCAAAGTCGATTCGTTCCACAAGATTCTGATTTATAAGGAACTCAAAATATTGTTCTTGAAACTTACACAAAATATTCGTTTGATAAAACAGTGAAAGTGTCTAACGTGCGTTTTCGGTAATTGTCTTACTACTTACACTAACAATCGCCGCACCTGCGTATTGGATGTGTGTGTTTTTTTTATTTTTCAGCCAACGAAATACTAAACACTAGTTGTGTGCTTGAAGCGAAATTGTTACTGTACAATATCATAGTCCAATTGGGTTTAAAAACGCCAAACAACAACAACATAACAAATTACACATTCTCGCAAGCAAGTAATTACCCACCCTAGCCAATATCTACACAGACATTATGTAAGTGTCAGGGAATGATTGAAACAGTAAACGGGAGGGGGGTGTGAACCGGTGATTTTTATTCGGAATCGTGACATTGAGAAAACGAAGCCTACTAGACAGAGTATTGAGTACAATGGTTGCCCATGGGCGTTGGCCAAACCCAGAGAGCAAACAAGTGGACTAGGTCCGGTGTATATGCCCGAGTCTGTCTAATTCTATCTCTAAGATTATCTCTGAGTCTATATCTCTGACGGTATCTGAGTCTGCCCTGTCTTTTTATAAGTTAAATCACGTGATCCAAATTGATACATCACATGACTCAAAACACCTTTTATGACAGGGCAGTGATTTAATACATCCGCATAAGTTTCCCGAAAATACATTGAATAAAAGTACATCGAATAACAATAAAAAAGTGATTTTAGCACCTCCACATCGTGGTGAAATGCTTTACAGGCTGATTTGTCGCAGGTGATAATGTTTTACGAATTATATTATTACACGTGGTGCCACACACTGTCAGCTGCCCTTCTACCACATACTTGCTAAAAGCGACACGGATATTGTTTTAGAAACCACGCTTGTTGATAGCAATGTGAAGATACGCTTGATATTGTTTCAGTACAAGCGTCACCCGTGGGAATTCCGTACAAGCGATATGACATGTAAGTTTCACTTAGTTGGTAACCATTGAAACTTATCGCCACATTTCCTTGAATTTAAACTTTATACAAAGATGAAGTTTTTGATACGATGTCTCTGCTTATCTGCGTTTTCCTCGGTGAATGTTGGTTTAGCAGCAGGGAGATGAAATGAGCTTCGCCCCTTCATTTCATTCGACCTTACGGTTGACTCGACAACAGAGCTGTTCATTTCAACGACATTAATTGCCTACCACCACCACCAATGTCATTTTGATGTACAACTTGCTATTTGTAAAAGAAACATGATAATAATTTAGAATCATAAATTCATACTAAATACCAGCTATTTTTGCATTTAAGTTGGCACCTGCAATAACAAGAGTTTAAACCTCCATATCCTGACATGGTCAGTGATAGGTATCCTGATTGGCACCCTCGCCGACGGATTACTTTGCGTCTGAGTGAATCAGTCGGTGAGGGCGCAATGACTATTCCCACAATAATTTTGTACAAAAATTGTATTTTATACACACGTTGTATACTAGTACACCGCATGACACGCTATGCTCAGACTTCATGTTGAACACGACGTAGTACGAGGAACGTGGCACGAGGAATATTTCCATAGCCGATAAAAAAAATACTGGCGTAAACAATGTTAGGATCACCATATTATTATTTTTTTAATGTTGAACATAAATAATGTACTAATTTAAAACCATTATTGTATATATTTGTATTCAGTATTAACAAAGCTTTCTTTATATCTCAAATAAAAACATATAATGAGAAAATTGTAAATTGTGACTGACAGTTACTTATATTGTCTTTTATTATTATTTTTTTGTAAAAACTATTTTTCTTGTTTATCTAGTCACATGACTTCACGACGTCACAATTCCATGGTCAATCGCATGATTTAATTTTTAACAACGGTTGATAAAGGAGCAGTCTGCGCGACGTCATATTAACCACACAAAAATCTGACTGAATTAGAACCAATCTCAAATTTTCGTTAAATTATGTGTAAACTAACTAATAAGAAATGATACCCCCGATTAATTTTAGAAATATATAGGCGTGCATCCATTTATGATACATATATTTATTATTAATCTTATATAGCTGTCTGTTTTCCTTGGACTGTATCTGGATTACGCTTCATTAAGTTGAAGTCCTTCCCCAAAAACCTTTAAATTCATTGCACATACATGTGGATTGATTTGCTTATTTTTCACTTATACGCGTACGATAACGCAACGCATGTGCAGTGGTTTTGTGTAAGTAAAACAAACAATTTCACCTTGGAATAGGATTTACATGATTTATTTACAACTGTTTTGTAACACACACACAATGACGGAAATTTACATACAGATCGTATCTCAGTCAAACTCATCTCCGACTTGACATTAAACTTGGTATGCACACAAATCATTTTCTCCTGTATGTCGATTGCAGTACATAAACCACTCGTGTTCCAGTTCAGTGTTTGTTGATTTATATACTCCGTACTCGTCACGTGATCACGGTAACTACGTATACATTTGTTAAAATATAACAAGTAGAATAACGTGAATAATCTGGAACTTTTTAAAAACTGTTAACAGTATAATAAATAACGCTCAGGCTACAATACGTATAGTGCAGGTTGAATACCGTCCACATTTTTTAACATTTTACTGTATTTTTCTATAATATCGGACCGAGTGGACATTGTTCATTGGCAGGTCTTAAAGCGGGAGGGTCGTCACCTGCGCATGCGCGAGTATTGAGTCTCAAGCGACGATAACAACACACGCTAAAAACGCAAAGGCTCATCGGTAGACGCTTGTTTGTAAACAATGACACGCTATGGCCATCTGACGCATGCGCAGGTGACGAAAAGTTGACTTCAAAGGGAGTATACAAGTATAATGTTGACGCTAGTCATTAACGGTCAGTACATATTCTGTATTGTAAGATTAGCATTGTAGTAATATTTTCGTTTGATTATGGAAAATTGATTATCGAATCTGAATAGAGTCACGATTACGTCGAGCTGTGCATGTGAATGAAATATCCATGTCCCGAATCAATTGGTACAGTTTGCGATCTGAGA